GGAACTGCGTGATCTCACCACACAGGGAAAGCCTGGATTAAAGGCAGGAGCAGTTCTAGCTCACAACAGATCAAAAGATAGGAAAAGTCACAGCTGAACACAGCTCACAGGCTGTGAGCTTCCTGTAAGGGTGTGGTCTTTGAATTCTCTGTAACCCTGAAAGAAATCCCTTTTCAAAGAAATGGCCTCAAGCCTTTATAAGATATGGCATTGTAAGCCCAGTGTTGGCTTCTCACCCTATAATCCTCGCTGCTCAGGAGCCTGAGATCTGAAGATTGAGGTTCAAAGCCAGGCTGGGCAGAAAAGCCTGTGAGACTCTTATCTTCAGTGAATCACTGGAAAACCAGAAGTAGGACAGGTCACACCAAATGGTAGAGCACTAGCCCTGAGCAAAAAAGCCCAGGGACAGTGCCTAGGCCCCGAGTTCAAGCCCCAGGACCAGTACAGGAAAAAAAAATTAGCAATGTGACTTTAAGGCTTTATTTATTTTTGGTCCAAATGTCACTATGCAAAGCAGAAGTCAAGAGCTGAGATTGTTGCTCCCTTGGGTGGTAACTCATCCTCTGAAGCTTCTGCCTGTCCTTATTAAGGGGATTTTTTTTCTTTAAATTTTATTTTAATCTTTCAGGAGTTGTACAGAAGGGCTTCAATTCACCATACAGTGCATCTCGATCAGTGTTCTCCCTCATCCCCTTCCAGAAGTTCTCAGCAAAGGACACAGGCCTGGCTCTCCAGTCCTGATGGCTGGGAGAGTCTCTTAGCCAAGTGACAGATTAAAAAACAACTTGATAGGGTACAGAATGGGGAAATTAGAATTGATATCTTTCAGCTCATTTAATAAACACTGATCTAGATTTTGGGGGGGATTAGAACAAAACACTGTTGGCTTATCAAAAAGCAGAATATTGGGTTAACAAAGGTCATCGTGGAAATCCTGAAAACAGCCAAGCTTTGGACAAGTCATTCCGCGTATCAAATCTGAACATCTTAAAGAAAATGAAAGAAAGTCAGGGCTGGCCCTTCATGGCACTTTGTGCATTGTTTTTTAAAAAAGAAAAAGATGGAGTCCTGGCTGGGCCAGAGAAAGGCTAGGGGTAGGGATAGACCTACTGTGCCACCTAATTCAGTGGGACCTGGGAAAATTATCTCACCTTTCTATAGGCAGTTTTGTGATCTGTCAAATGGGCTTGTGCTGAAAGTATGCCGTAACTATTATTTGAGATATTACTATGTCAATCTATAAAATGGTACTGTCATAAAGTTCCAATAAGGTCATGAATGAAGATGCCAATAAAAGATGTACGATGGGAGCCACAAACAACTACAGCTGTCACAGAAGGTGGTAAATAGAGCCGTAAATTCTGGTAAGGTGTATCTGACAGCACGAGTCACTCCAATACCATAAATCATTTTTAAAAGCAATAAACCCAGAGTTAGAAAGTTCAAATCCGGCTACATAGACTGTATCTCAAGCAAATGAAAAAATTAAAATAAAGCAATGAAGTCTGTTGGGCCTTGACTGATGACAACTATTCAATTAATACAAAATTCGACACTGGGTTTGGCTCTCAGGAAGAAAGTTCCAAAGAATTTTGGGTGAGATAAGACCTGATTTAAAACAAAAAAAAATTGTGCTGGTACTAGGGCTTGAACTCAGGGCCAAATGCTCTCACTTGGCTTTTTCTGCTCATGGCTGGTGCTCTACCATTTAAGCCGTATCTCCACTTCCAGCCTTTCCTGCTTATGTGGAGATAAGTCTCATAGCTTTTTTTTCTGCCCAGGCTGGCTTTGAACGGTGAGTCTCACATCTCAGCCCTCTGAGTAGCTAGGACTATAGCTAGGACTGCAGTACTCAGCTGTGACTTCAAACTCTGTCCCCATGCTCTTAATGTGTCTGACTCTCCACCCCTTGAAGGACAGTCACTCATCATAATGATGTCCCTTACTTGCGAGAGCTGTCCCACAGGAAGCTAATAGCCTGGGTTGGCCCAAGTCGTACCTCCACCCCATTTTCCCCTCCCAACCCCCAATACCATCAAGACCTCCCCTTGCGTCTCTCCAGCACAGGGTGTACCTGCCTTTCCCTCCCTCCCCGCTAGCTTCCTCCCTCTGTGTAATAGCCAGAGTTCTTCACCCCCTCCCCCAAACTGGCAGGAATGCCCACACTCACCCTGTCCACGCTGCCCTCACCCCTACAGCTGACCACACAGAGCAGCTACAGGACTTTCTGCAGGGAACCTGTTGGTGAGCCACACATGCACTGAACACAGACGCTCTGGCTCTCTACCATCAGGACAATATGCAGATGCAAAGGGTTCCTGTGGCTTCTCCCTAGCAAAGCTTTGCTCACTCACTTTCTGACAAAACGCTTGTCATTCGGCCTCAAACAGGCGCTTGAAATGAGGAGCTCAACGCTTGAAATAGCACCCGCTAATGACAATGAAGGGTTTCCCATCACAGCCTCCTTGCCCTAGGAGCAAGGCTTTTGCCTTCAGTGAGGAAATAACTGGCCGTGCACTGAGGTGCTCTTTGTAAGATATTCTCTGGGCGTTAAAAGTACTTTACCACATCTGCCCCATCGACAGCCTTGAAAGGTTTTTTTTTTTTTGGGGGGGGGAAGGGAGTGATGTTGATATATACAAATACATATTTATATATAACATTAATAGTGTGTATATCCGTAAGTTAGAAAATGAATTCAAGTCATGAACCATGGGTCTTTCATGGGTTTTCCAACTTTAAGAAGATAAAGAAAATCTCCTGGCTCTTGCCTCTTTTGCACGAACGCCCCTCTTCCCCCCTCCACCCCAATTGCTGCCACACCCCCAGAAGTCCTGGAGGGGAGAGGGGACAGTGGACCCACATTTCCTTCATGATTCGTAATTCTCATCAAAATCAATACCATATAGGGAGAGGAACGGAAAATGTGGCTGACAAGTTCTAGAGAAGAAAAAGATTGAAGAACCAGGAAGGACTTAGGGACAAGAAATAATAACTATAAGACCTGGGAAGTCCTTTAAGTTAGAGGTTTTGAGCCAGGCTGATGGATGCATTTGGACTTCAGGGTGTACAGTTGTTTGGCTGACAAGTGTCAGCTGAAAAGCATTGTTTGAACAAAGTAAAGTTACACCAAAATCCTGACAAACATCCTAGGGAAAACAGGAAGATCCTGTTCACTCTGGGACCATACTTCCCCAAGGTACAACAGCAGGGGCCACTGCTCCCTAGCGCCCCCAGTGACCACGTGGTGAATGACTCCTCTCAGACCCCTCCAACCCTAACCCGCCTTCCCCACGCAGGAGGGCAGTGTTTGATTTCTCTTCCCAGACCCTTAAAAAAACATTTACTGACACCCCACACACACCCAAACCAGGCCTACTTGCTTTGCAAATGACAAAAACAAAACCCAAAGATAGAATTTACTTGGTTCAATTCATAGAATGTCTCCTCTATACCCAAGTGTTTTTGGACTTGTCTTAGAACAGAATATTGTTTCTGCTGAACAGCCTCTAATGCTAGAACTGATGGGAATTTGACTCCTGGGAATTTAGGATTAGTCACTGTTATCTTGCTCCAGTAGTGGCTTGTCAGTTCTCCCACCAGCCAGGCCCCAAGCTCAGCGCATGCCCTCTGCATCTTGATAATGATTCTGGAATGGGATGTGCCTTATTATTGCATTTAACAGCAAGAAAGTTGAGGCTCAGGACTGGAGAACACATGTATGGCTGAGTGGCACTTAATCATGGGCCCATCTGATACCAGAGCCCATATATTTATTGTATGCCTCGTTACCTCATACATACCCAACCATCTAGGCTGGGGAGATGGCTCAAGTAGTAGAATAGCTACCTAGTAAGTGACAGGTTCTGAGTTCAAATCCCAGCCCCTGACCGCGCCCCCAAAGAAAGCATTCAAAGGGATGACGCTGATCAAGATGTACTGTATTCAGAAACTGCTTTAGTGAATGGTAACTCCTTTGTATAACTACATATATATATATGTATATATATATGCTCTTTATATTATATATGCACACACATATATAATAGCATTCATCCAATACCTACCATTTCCACCAATCAACACATCATCTTCCCCAATTAGACAACAAATCATTGGGCCCTCAGCGCAGCTAAAAGTTAGGATATCACGAAATATGGCAGAAGGTGGTTGCACCTGTCTTCCTGGGCTTGTCACTGGGTTTTCTGGGTCACAGCTGACTCCAATCCCCTGGAAGTGCCCAGTACATTGGTCATTCCAGTACACAAAGAGTAGTTGCCCACTACTGCTTTGAGTTATTCCTCAATAGCTTCTACTTTTCAGATTTAGGTCAAGTTTTTACTCAACTCACCTCTTGGGAGGATGTACCTCATACTCCTCCACAGGTTCTAGAAAACTCTTTTGTCTTCTGCATGTTACTTCTTTCCTCTCCTGGTTTTGTCACCAATGAGGAGAGGTCCATTATAGTACAAGACATTGCTAGTTTGTGGTTCTGTTTTGTTTCAAACAATGTCAGTTGTGTTTATGTTTGTTTCCTTCAAAGTATATTAGGCAGCAAATTCTACTCTAAGTGGTTAAAACATACAATAATAAGAGGCCAGTCATGGTGGCTCATGCCTGGATACCCAGCTAGTCAAGAGAAAGAGATCAGGAGGATCTTGATTCAAAGCCAGATCTCCGCAAAAATTTACTGAGAAACCTTATCAAAAAAACACTGGATATGAGGGTACACCCCCATGATCCAGCTATTTGGGAGGCTGCCAGGCTGGGCAAAAATGGAAAACCTTGTTTAAGAAATAAAATTAAAACAGTTGGATGGAGGCATGGCTCAAGGGGTAGGGCACCTGTCTAGCAAGCTAGGTTCAATCCCGAGTTCAATCCCTAGTACTACCAAGAGAAAAAGAAAAGCACAAAAAAAGCATATGTGCTATATACTTGGCCACCAAACCAGGCAGTTGTCTGACAAGTATCAATATTTAGTAAATACTTGTAATACTTACAACCCATATCATGACGAGTCTTCTGGATAAATAAGGATCAATATTCCACTGAGTGAATGGAAGGAACGTGATGTAGAACTCTTCTTGTCCCAAAGTGGCTGAAAATCGGAACAGGTAATAGTAGAAATAATTCTTCACAATGTACTTCTGTACATAAGCCTGAAAGACAAATGTTAGGCAATTCTATGAGTTCATTCTGCATCTCATTACAGGGCAAGTGTGTCTTAGTTCCTAAGGCCTGTGGCTATATTACTTTATGCAACAAAGAGGACTTTGTAGATGTAACTTGCTAGACGACCTTGGGATGGAGCGGCTGAGCTAGATCGCTGGTGTCAGCTCAGTGTAATCACCGGGATCCCTATAAGATGGAAGAAGGCAGGTATGTCAGAGCCAGAGCAACTGAAGATGCAGCCCTGCCGACATTCAGGATGGGAGCCTGGGGCAGGAATCAAGGCATGCAGGTGACCTTGAAAGGCTCGAAAAAGCAAGGAAACAGATTTTTGAGTTAACACAGGAATATAACCCAAACACCTTGTTTTTAGCCAAGAATATCCTCAGAGCTTAGGAGAATGTTTCTGTGATTTTTAGCCATGAGATTGTGATATTTCATTTGAGCAGCAATCGGTCACTAAAACAAAGGCTTTAGAATCTCACTTACATCTGAACTTCAGTTTACCTTTTATTCTATTTTGGTGGTATTGGGGTTTTTGAATTCAGCATCTTGCTGAATTCAGCATCTTGCTGAATTCGGCATCTTGCTAGGCAAGTGCTATACAATTTGAGCCATGCCCTAGATCTTTAAGTTTTATTTTTCGTTTTTCAGGCAGGGTCTTGAGCTTTTGCCTGGGCTGGGCTCAACTGTTATCCTTCCTTCTCCACCTGTGAAACAGATGGAATCATACCCCACCTCTATTGAGGAAGAGTCTTGATTACTAAAGTTAGCCTCAAACCTCGATCCTCCAAGTTTCTGACTCCTAAGTAGCTGGGATTGCAGGTGTGTTATACCAAGCTTGGCCCTAATTAATCTTTTTAAATTAGACCAATAAGGTAAACTCCGTGATTGTGTGAGACGTTAGGTGAATTTAAAGTAAGTACAGCCGGGCATTGTTAAAACAGACTCTCTTTTTCTATTGTCTTTTTTTCTTTTGGTCAGTCGTGGGGCTTGAACTCTGGCATGGGCGCTATCCCTCAGCTCTTCAGATCAAGTCTAGTGCTCCACCACTTGAGCCACAGCGCCACTTCCAGTTTTCTGAGTGGTTTATTGGGGATAAGAGTCTCACAGACTTTCCTGCCCAGGCTGGCTTTGAACCAGGATCCTCAGATCTCAGCCTCCTGAGTAGCTAGGATTAAAGGTGTGAGCCACCAGCACCTGGCTCTATTGTCTTTTACCTTCTTATTATTCTGATAATGGGCAGGGGGTAGGAAGAAAGACTCAAGGGATTTAAAACTGGAATAAGCAGACAATCTAAAATAATGGTAAACACCATACATTATTGTATATTAAATAGTCACAAACCCAAACTATTGTTTCTCTAGTAAATGAAAAGTAGTTTTCTATTTTGAGACAGGGTCTTCCTATGTAGGCAAATCTGGCCTCAAACTCTTGGGGATTTACAGGCATGAACTACCACATCTGGTTTATAAAAGGAATTTTAATGCTACTGAAGATAGTCATGGATAGTCATAAACTATAAAAATAAAGTGCCAGTGCTGGCAGGGAGGGAAAGAGATCGCATGGTTGCAGGACCACCTTGATTTCACTCTTGTAGTTGTGGATTTTTGAAGTCTGTGGTCTTTTAAGTCTGAGAGCATTCAGGAAATGCTGCACTTATTTATAATGCCCGATTCATCTCATGCCTAAGGTCTATCATCTATGCTGGGTGGTAAGAAGATTCAGAAGAGTCAGGAAAAATAGAAGCTCTTACCTGGTAAGTAGCATCTGAGGATATAATTTGGGGAAAGTGTGTGTGTGTGTGTGTGTGTGTGTGTGTGTGTGTGTGTGTGTGTGCGCGCGCGCGCGCGTGTGTGTGTGTGTGTGTGTGCGCGCGCGCGCGCGCGTGCGCGCGCGCACGCGCATGCGCGTTTTGGGGCTCTGTCCCTCAGCTCATTTTCCCAAAGCTAGCACTCTACCAGTGGAGCCACAACTTCATTTCTGGCATTTTGGTGGTTAGTTGGAGATGAGTCTTATAGACTTTACTGCCTGGGTTGGCTTCAAACCATGATCCTCAGATCTCAGCCTCCTGAGTAGCTAGGATCACAGGCATGAGTCACTGGCACCAGGTCTTTTTACCCTTTTTATAAAAAGGTAAGTTAACTTTATTTATGTGCAAATCTGTTCTGCTTTAGAGGTTTAAAATTTTGCCAACTTCTAACAAGGGTCAGACCCTGCCCTCGTGTCATTCTATGGTACCCAAGTATCATATGTCATTATAAATATTCAGTGGCAATAATTTCTCTATTCTGGAAATTTATCTGTGTCAAAGTTCAACTTCTTCATCCTGGTAAACACTCAAAAAGGCCATCAAGGATAACAGCCAACTTTGTTGGGGGTTGCATATTACTAAATATGTTTACATATGCTTTTTACAATCACTCAGAAATTCTCTTTTTTATAGAATTAAGTGGTTTGTTTTTGTGTCATACTAGGACTTGAACTCAGGGCTGAAGCATTCTCTTTTTTCTAGTCAAGGCTAGCACTCTAGTACTTGAGCTACAGCTCCACTTCCAGCTGATTAATTGGAGAAAAGAATCTCACAGACTTGTCTGCCTGGGGTGTCTTTGAACATGGTCTTCAGATCTCAACCTCCTGAGTAGTAGGATTACCAGTGTGAGCCACCAGCACTTGGCTAGAATGAACTATTTTTTTTCCAATTTAGTTCAACAGTCCTTTTATAATGATAATTATTCTGTATTCAGAATTATGAGGGGGCAAAGTACAAGGGTGAGCTAGAATGATACAAATCCAAAAATCACATTGTTCTTATTTTTTCTAGAATGAAGTAGTTTTAAAAGTTAACTATTCTAGAGCATAAGAAAAGCCAAGAGTAAAATTTGAAATCTCAGCATAGATATAGAATACCCGAAGGATTTCTTAGGTAATTTCTCTATATGTGATATAAATAGGCAGAGAATCCATATTAACTACCAACTATTTGGGGGTTGCAGGTAGCCAAGCAAAGTTGTCCATACTTGACTTTTCAAAAAAAAAAGAATCTGAATGTGTTTCACCTGTAGGAAATTTCAGTGTAAAAAATGTCAATATAGCTTAGGGAAGAGCAAGGATTTCATGTCTGGGAACATTAGAAAGAGAAGAAATGGGATTAGAAATAGAAATAGTGGGTAGAGTGGGAAGGCAGCAAGGTGAAGGGTAGCAGCAGAGGGAGGGAAGACCCCGGACTACTTCTGCATTCTTCTCTGGCTATACCCAAGGGGCTGGTGGCCCAGGTTCTGGGGGCCGTGTATCAGGGGACATGCTTGGGAGACAAGGACCTGCCACTCATCTTCTGAGTAAAGGAGAAGGGAAGCATTCAACCTAGAGGTGGATGGAGAGCACCTCTTATTTTTAGTGCATTTAAATTAGTATATATTAATAGTACAGGAGAGTTTCACTGGGATCATTGTGCAGATGTAGACAGTATACTTTGAACAAGTTCACCCCATCTAATGTATTCTCTCAAGCCCCTCCCTGGCCCTTCTTTTCAAACAGTATTTGATTGGTTTCCTATGCTATTATATACACATACACACATACATGTATACACACATATACATGCATATATACATATATGCATTACATAGATACACATGTATGTGTATGTGTGTAGAATATGTGTATATATACATATATATATATACACACACACACATATCTATATATTATATACTTCCATCTTCCTCACGACTCCTTTCCCCTCTCTCTTCTCCTGGATCTAAGACAGTTTCCCCTTCCTACACATGGGAAAGCCCACCCTTACAATGTTCCAAGGGTCATCTTTTGTTTATGACTTTCATGCTGTAATTCCCTTTCCCTACCCATGTACTTTAAAAGATTTGCTCTGCCATTTTCTTCTATTAAGAAAAAAAGAGCCAGGCACGGGTGGCGCACACCTATGTATAATTTTTGCTTCTTGGAAGGCTCAGATCCAGAGGATCAAAGTTTGAAGTCATTCCAGGCAGAAAAGACTCTGAAAGATTCCATCTTTAAAATAACCATGTCCTTCCATTTTAGGTGAAATTACTGAGGCCCAGACAAAGGTTGCATGTTTTCTATCATGTGTGGAAGCTAGAATTAGTTTATGGTGGCATGCAAATGTAGTAACTGAAATACAGTCGATTCCATTGTTCACACAAAAAAACATACTCGTTACTGGACTTATGTAACTATAACTCTTTTGTACATCACTTTTATGATAACAATAAAACAGATTAAATTCAATTTTACAAAAGGAAGTAGGGGTAGCTTCAGGGGAGAACTCAAACAGTGTAATTCCTTAGGCAAAATTAGAGTTCAGCAAAAAACACCAGGAGACTGGTACTTGAACGGGGTAGGATGGATCAAGAGGAAAGGGACAGACAAAGGAAGTAAAAAAGCAGAGGGGGAGAGGTGGAGAGAATACAGTCAAAATTCAGTACATGCCCTACAAAATTAGGGGGAAAGTAAGGGGTGGCGCGGGTAGGGGAAGGATGTGTGAGAACATTGAAAGGGAAGACATTTAGATGCATTGTATTCATAAACGGCTTGTTGAAGGACAACTCCTGTGTACAACCACTTAGAGATAATAAAAAAATCATTTTCTAAAAAATAAATAAGACCTAAGTACTCCCTCCCTGAAAATAAATAGAATAACCAGCAAAAATCAGAGCTGGAGGTGTGGTCCAAGTGATAGGGCACCAGCAGAACAAACAAGCTGGGCAAGCTTGAGTTGGAGTTCAAATAACTAAATACATACATGAAACGTTTCCTGGTATTCATATTTTCTAACACAGAATGACATTCATCTGCCATGACTGAGATGTCTGATCAGCAAGGGATGGAATTGAAATTGTCCACCTAGCCATTATTCCAGCCTGCGGAATCTCATTGATATGCTCATTCGTGTATCTGTTTATTGGTTCGTGTTCCTGGAAGTTTCTGAAGAAGTGTTTCATAGGATGGCTTG